AAATTATCTCACAATTCCTACTTTTTAAAAATAATGATGGATCTCAAGATGTGAATTTTATTTCTGTGACTTTCTTTATAATCTCTTAATTATCTGTTTCATGTTCTACGGTCTCCAGACTCTCTCTGGTTCATTCCCAGCACTCGAGGTCCTCCCTCAATCCCTTTAGTCCTGCTTTAGCGCACAGAAAAGCTCTGCATCAAAATGACTGTCGTGTTTTCCACATTGGTGTGGACCGGCAGCGTATGGCAGTGAGTGTGTGGTGTGAAACGCATGGCGGCAGGCACGCGTGTGTGTGGGTGGTTGCGGGTTGTATTCCAACACCTTTGTGAAGCGCGTGTGGGTGGAGATGTTGAATAAACACATTCCCGAAGCTTCTGTGCTGCTTTCATGAGCGAGAGACGCTCCCACATTTGATGTTTGGAGGAACTGACGACCGAATCACCTCTTGCAGAGAGCGGAGGAGGTCAGCGCCATGGGGAAACAATAATACACATGAGATATTAGGCATTAAATATGGATAACACAGCCGTTCTGATACTTTGCCTGATATCTGCTCCTCCAGGAAGACTAGTGCTTCTTAATTTCAGAGAGTGTTACATTTCTCAAGTACGGCACAGTTTTGTTGCTTAATGGATGGTGTAATAAGCCACTATAATAGGGATTGTGCTTCTGAGTCCTGTGCCATTACCGTCCTGAAACATGCTTTGTCACACAGCCACTAATGTGGAATCAATCAAATATCCATTAAGTCTCATGACTCGAGCCCGAACGAATGTTTATGAATTTCATGTTTGCATTTAGCTTTAAAGGCTCAACACGCTACAAATCCACTTCATTGACACTCTCAGCGTCTCTTCTCTTCCTTGGGCTGTTTTATAGGAGTTGTGTCGTTTTGTCTGGGTATTTAATTCACTGTATTATCCAAATAAACATGCATTATCTTATTGTGATTTAATATGCGAAACAGTTTTGGGGTTGAAAATCTGGCAGAAATTGATGACTGATGGCAACAAATCCATTTCATTTGCACTTGTAATGTCTCTTGGAACATGTTATACTATTAAAGTATTTTACTTTTTTATTCAATACATTATCCACAAAAAAGTATGCATAACCTCATGATTTAATATACACACTCTTAGAAGAAAAGGTTCTATATAGAACCTTAAAAGGTTCTATCAGCGCTATGTATTTGGAAACCCTAAAAGGTTCTATACACTCTTAAAAATGGTTCCTCTGGGTTCTATATAGAACCCTGGGGTTCCATACTTGGCCAATAGAACCTTTAACCAAAAAAAAAATGGTTCTATATAGAACCCTGGCGTTCTATACTTGGCCAATAGAACATTTTGCCAAAAAAAAAAAAAAAATGGTTCTATATAGAACCATTTTGGAGTTCCATATATGAAGTGGGGGATGGAACCATTTCTGGTTCTAAATAAAACCATTTCTTCTAAGAGTGCAGGTGAAACTCGAAAAATTAGAGTATCGTGCAAAGATTCATTTACTTTTATATTTAAATATATATTTATATTTCATTTATTTCAGTAATTCCACTTAAAAGGTGGAACTAATATATTATATAGACTCCTTACATGCAAAGCCTTACATTATGGCTTATAGCTTATAAAAACCCCAAATTCAAAATTAGAATATTGTGAAAAGGTTTTCATATCTGTAATCCATAATCAGCACAATTATAAAGTCTTGAAATATCTCACTTTGCATGTAATGAGTCTATATAATATGTTAGTTTCACCTTAACTTTTGCGTGATATTCACATTTTTTGGAGTTTTACCTGTTATAGTACATTTTTGGGGGTTAAAATTTGGCATTAATCCGGATTTCTTATAAAAAAGTATATAAAAACAAAATTCAGTGTAACTTTTAGTGTCTCATCTTTGGTCCATTTTATACTATTAGTGCCAAGGTTTTGGATATGTGTTTAATTCAATGTATTATCTCAAAAATAGACAAAACTGGCAAAAATGCTATTGCAAAAGATGGCCATTTTTGGCAGAATGAAAGTGTTACGGACGGTGTATAGTCAGCAAATCATAACCTCAGGTCAGTCACAAAACCGAATGGTCCTCAAACAGGAAAGTTAATTATCCAAAGCGATTTACTTTAGGGAAACGTTGAGTCCCCCCCACTGGAGATGAATTACAGCATTATCCAGCCCGTGTGTGTGTGTGTGTTTGAGCGGCGACACGCGAGGTTGGATACAATTAGATAATTCATGATTCATAAAGCAGTGAAAATCCAATCATTAAAGATTAGCAGAGACGCTGGAGCTCGTCGTGTCCCTGATTTAAGACGGATCATTTTATTATCATACAGCATCAGACGAGCTGCTTAAATGACTTCTCACTCCTGCTTGAAACAATTAGAGACGTCGCTGTACACTTCCAGTGGTTTCGAGTGCACAGTTATTCCTCGCAACTAAAAATAAGCCAGCCTTATTTGAATGCAATCGTTCATGCATATTAATTGTGAAGTGACTAATTTGGGTTTGACGTGTGTGAGCTGGAGCTCCTTATCTCAGTGTTCATGTCAAACCCCAAATCTTCCCTGCAACACACTGCAATACTGATGCAATCAATCCAAAATGAGCTTTAGTTTCTCTTCCTCGCCGTTTAGCTGAGTGTTTGTGTCCCCGCGCAACACAAAGACTGCTGTATCTGCCATTGAACGCACAATAAATGGAGAGGCACAAGGAATTTGGTGTATTGAAAAGCCACCACGAATGCTAATTCATCAGCCTTTTGATGTGTTTTCCCATTTATGGCACATAAAAGCCTCATTGGGGAAGAGATTTGGAGAGACATCAGTGAGTCGCTCTGTGGCCCGAGTTGGTTCGGTAGCGTGACAGTAGCTTAGCTGTTTTCAGAACAGTGTAGTGTGTGACGAGACGGTGTGTTGCTGTTTTTGTCATGTTGCAGTGAGCTAACCGAGGTAGGCTATATAGGTTTCATGTTGGGGTTCGTTAAGATTTATTTTTTTGCTGGATTTATTTCAATGTAATTTATTCCTGTATTTTCAGCATCATTATTCCAGTCTTCGGTGTCACATGATCCTTCAGAAATCACTCTAATATGATGATTTGCTGCTCAGGAAACGTTCATGATTTATTTATTTATTTATTTATTTATTTTATTTATTTATTTGACAGGGACAGTGTACATTAATTAGCATTACTGCAAATGTACTAGAATTAGCCAAAAGGCTATTTTTCATCCATTGTCCCTGGACAGATGTTAATATTGTCTACCTTAAAAAGAAAAAGCAGTAAAAACTTTACAAGAAAAATACAAAATATAGAAACAATATAAATCGCTAAATCAGGTACAGTGTACAAATTCATTATATTATCAACATTTTGGCAAAATATAAATGTTGAAAACAGTTACTCAACAAGGACACAGATTATTATCAATTTTGGAAACACTGCTTCATATTTTTGTGGAAACATTTTCTTCAGGACTCTTTGATGAATAGAAAGGTCAGAAACACTTTAGTTTAGGGTCCAATTCTCACTATTTAGTTTCTTAAAAGCATGCATATCACTAGAATATTGACTGTTTATTAGTGCTTCTAAAGCACAGATTAATACATTAATTATGCATGACCATTAACCTAACAACTACCTTACTAACTATAATAAGCAGTAATTATTGAGATGATTGAATTATTAGTTAATAGACCATCATCTAAAGTGACCAAACGTTCAAAAGAACAACATCGTTTGTAAGATTATACGTTTTTACTGTCAATTTTGATCGATTTAATGCATCATTTCTGAATAAATGTTTCTGACCCAAAGCTTCAAAATAGTTATTTTTGTTAGTAACATATTATGTAGCTAACCCCATTTTCAAAAAGGTAACATTAGAAGGCTAAAAAACATCATCAGGCTTTAATGTGGCATAAATATAACAAAAACACAGAATAAATCGGTTTAGAAATGGCATCCAATGGGCTAAATGACTGTTTCCGCAGTATACAAGCATAAACTCGCCGTCATCACGGATCAGAGGAGGGCATGAACGCAACAGATTGGTGATTACCATTGTGAGAGGCATTAATTAAAGCTAATTAGCATTTGTCATTGTGACAGAACGTGTAAGGAGCCGCATTGGTTTAGCGGGAAATGCCAGCGCTCATTAAATGGACTGTAACAGGAGGAGATTACATCCAGGAGGAAGTCCATCATTCACCCCCGTGTGGGACGTTAATGCTATAATCGAGTGCTCAAAGGGTTGGCTGCTTAACTTACATTAAATATGAAATATGATTCTGTCCACCTCAATATGGACCTGTCAAGACCTAATTTTTGTAAGTCTGTCGTGTTAAGTTTGAGTAAATGATGTCAAGCACCTGGAGACGCCATTTGAATGATGGAAATGACTTCTTTTATGTCCACATCAGTTAAAGTTTGAGTCGTTTTATACTAGAGACAGATTGCTTGGTGTATTTTTTCTTAATTTGACCACATGAAATTGTAATTTATTCCTGTGATCAAAGCTGAATTTCCAGCATCATTACTCCAGTCTTCAGTGTCACACGATTCTTCAGAAATCACTCTAATATGCAAGAAACATTTCCGACTATTATCAATGTTGAAAACAGCTTCATTTTTATTTATTTTTTGGAAACTATGAACTTTTTTTCAGGATTCTTTGATGAATAGAAAGTTCAAAAGAACAGCATTTGTTTGAAATATAAATCGTTTGTAACATTATAAATGTGTTTACTGTCACTTTTGGTCAATTTAATGCATCCTTGCTGAATAAAACTAGTCTAAAAAATAGAATAATCTTGCTTTTTAACTGTGGTGTACATCCTTAAAATATGAATCATTATGTTTAAAACTATAGGATTATCTATAAGCATTAAACATTTCAGTGTTGTTGTTTTGTTTTTATTTGGTTTTGATCAGATTTTGTGTGCAGAATGAACAAAGCCTAATTCACTCTCTGTGTGTGTGTGTGTCTAGGTGGTGTGTGTATCGCTCAGTCTCTGAAGATCCCTCGGGAACCCAGACCTGGGGAATTCGACAAGATAATCCGCCGGCTCCTGGAGACCCCCAACGCTCGGGCCGTCATCATGTTCGCAAACGAGGACGATATCAGGTGTCTCCTTTTTGTTCTTAAAAGACTTTCCCGGGCTAACCATTCCCTTAAAGATCTCCAGCTGAGAGAAACCCATCGTCACTGCCTTGAGGAAGAAATGAAAGAGGAAGCAAAAAGGATATACATGTATGTGTGTATATATATATATATACATTATATATACATATATATACATAGATGTTAGAATTTTATAGATGTCAAACCATATCCCAAGAATAGACTATTCATCTAGAACATTAGCATGACAAAGAAATGAAACCAGACAATCACAGTTTACTGGAATTTCAAACACCTTGCAAGTTATTTTGGCAGGTAACCAAATTCAAGGTTATCCTGGCTGGAAGTGTGTTACCAGCCGGACTATATCGGGTCTATAGTTAACAGACACGGTGAAATGACGGCTATTGCTTGCTGAGGATGGACATCAGCAACAATACACACTGTGACTATTAGAGGTTCAATTGGTGCTAAGCGGCTCAAAGTGTGCCGAGATAATATCCTGCACTCCATTACTCCAGCATCTGCCTGATCACTGGCGCAAAGGCTCTTTTGTGTTGTTTACAGCCAATACTGACCCTTGCAGCAGAAATCAAGACTCATCGTTTTTGTGTCGAGTCTGTGTGAATTGCAGCTTCAGTTCCTTATCTGTTCTGCTGCTGTATCTCTGCTTGTTTGAGTTACTGTAACCTTTCTATCAGATGAACCAGTCATTCAACCATGCAGCCATCAGCCGTTCTCCTCTGGCATCAACGAGGCATTTCCACCCACTGCTCACTGGATATTTCCTCATTTTCAGACCCTAGAGATGATTGTGTGTGAAAATCCCTGTAGATCAGCAGTTTCTGAAATACTCAGACCAGCCCGTCAATCACCAACAACCAAGACAAAGTCACTCTTTTCTTCCCTGTTCTGATGCTCAGTTAAACTCCAGCACATTGTCTTCAACATTTCTACATGCTTAAATGTATTGGGTTTCTGCCATGTGATTGGCTGATTAGCTTTTTGTGTTTAGCAATTGAACAGGTGTGCCTAATAATGTAGATGGCAAGTGTAGTGATGTAGTACTTGAGTCTGGTCTTGGTCTCGAGAACGATTTCTGCTTTCTCGGTCTCGACTCGCACTCAACCCTTCAAAGACTCGGACTCAACCCTTCAAAGACTCGGACTCAACCCTTCAAAGACTCGGACTCAACCCTTCAAAGACTCAGTCTTGACTCAGACTCAGCCCTTCAAAGACTCGGTCTTGACTCGGACTCAACCCTTCAAAGACTCGGACTCAACCCTTCAAAGACTCGGACTCAACCCTTCAAAGACTCGGACTCAACCCTTCAAAGACTCGGTCTTGACTCAGACTCAGCCCTTCAAAGACTCGGCCTTGACTCGGTCTCAACCCTTCAAAGACTCAGTCTTGACTCGGACTCGACCCTTCAAAGACTCTGTCTTGACTCGGACTCAACCCTTCAAAGACTCGGTCTTGACTCGGACTCAACCCTTCAAAGACTCGGACTCAACCCTTCAAAGACTCAGTCTTGACTCGGACTCAACCCTTCAAAGACTCAGTCTTGACTCGGACTCAACCCTTCAAAAACTCGGACTCAACCCTTCAAAGACTCTGTCTTGACTCGCACTCAACCCTTCAAAGACTCGGTCTTGACTCGGACTCAACCCTTCAAAGACTCGGACTCAACCCTTCAAAGACTCAGTCTTGACTCGGACTCGACCCTTCAAAGACTCTGTCTTGACTCGCACTCAACCCTTCAAAGACTCTGTCTTGACTCGGACTCAACCCTTCAAAGACTCGGTCTTGACTCGGACTCAACCCTTCAAAGACTCGGACTCAACCCTTCAAAGACTCAGTCTTGACTCGGACTCAACCCTTCAAAGACTCGGACTCAACCCTTCAAAGACTCTGTCTTGACTCGGACTCAACCCTTCAAAGACTCTGTCTTGACTCGGACTCAACCCTTCAAAGACTCGGACTCAACCCTTCAAAGACTCGGTCTTGACTTGGACTCAACCCTTCAAAGACTCGGTCTTGACTCGGACTCAACCCTTCAAAGACTCAGTCTTGACTCGGACTCAACCCTTCAAAGACTCGGACTCAACCCTTCAAAGACTCTGTCTTGACTCGGACTCAACCCTTCAAAGACTCTGTCTTGACTCGGACTCAACCCTTCAAAGACTCGGACTCAACCCTTCAAAGACTCGGTCTTGACTTGGACTCAACCCTTCAAAGACTCGGTCTTGACTCGGACTCAACCCTTCAAAGACTCAGTCTTGACTCGGACTCAACCCTTCAAAGACTCGGACTCAACCCTTCAAAGACTCTGTCTTGACTCGGACTCAACCCTTCAAAGACTCTGTCTTGACTCGGACTCAACCCTTCAAAGACTCGGACTCAACCCTTCAAAGACTCGGTCTTGACTTGGACTCAACCCTTCAAAGACTCGGTCTTGACTCAGACTCAACCCTTCAAAGAATCGGACTCAACCCTTCAAAGACTCAGTCTTGACTCGGACTCGACCCTTCAAAGACTCTGTCTTGACTCGCACTCAACCCTTCAAAGACTCTGTCTTGAATCGGACTCAACCCTTCAAAGACTCGGTCTTGACTCGGACTCAACCCTTCAAAGACTCGGACTCAACCCTTCAAAGACTCAGTTTTGACTCGGACTCAACCCTTCAAAGACTCAGTCTTGACTCGGACTCAACCCTTCAAAGACTTGGACTCAACCCTTCAAAGACTCGGTCTTGACTCGGACTCAACCCTTCAAAGACTCGGACTCAACCCTTCAAAGACTCAGTCTTGACTCGGACTCAACCCTTCAAAGACTCGGTCTTGACTCGGACTCAACCCTTCAAAGACTCGGACTCAACCCTTCAAAGACTCTGTCTTGACTCGGACTCAACCCTTCAAAGACTCGGCCTTGACTCGGACTCAACCCTTCAAAGACTCGGACTCAACCCTTCAAAGACTCTGTCTTGACTCGGACTCAACCCTTCAAAGACTCGGTCTTGACTTGGACTCAACCCTTCAAAGACTCGGTCTTGACTCGGACTCAACCCTTCAAAGACTCGGACTCGACCCTTCAAAGACTCTGTCTTGACTCGGACTCAACCCTTCAAAGACTCGGTCTTGACTCGGACTCAACCCTTCAAAGACTCAGACTCAACCCTTCAAAGACTCAGTCTTGACTCGGACTCGACCCTTCAAAGACTCGGTCTTGACTCGGACTCAACCCTTCAAAGACTCGGACTCAACCCTTCAAAGACTCTGTCTTGACTCGGACTCAACCCTTCAACGACTCGGTCTTGACTCGAACTCAACCCTTCAAAGACTCGGACTCAACTCTTCAAAGACTCGGTCTTGACTTGGACTCAACCCTTCAAAGACTATGTCTTGACTTGGATTCAACCCTTCAAAGACTCTGTCTTGACTCGCACTCAACCCTTCAAAGACTCGGTCTTGACTCGGACTCAACCCTTCAAAGACTCAGACTCAACCCTTCAAAGACTCGGTCTTGACTCGGACTCAACCCTTCAAAGACTCGGACTCAACCCTTCAAAGACTCGGTCTTGACTCGGACTCAACCCTTCAAAGACTCGGACTCAACCCTTCAAAGACTCAGTCTTGACTCGGACTCAACCCTTCAAAGACTCGGACTCAACCCTTCAAAGACTCTGTCTTGACTCGGACTCAACCCTTCAAAGACTCTGTCTTGACTCGGACTCAACCCTTCAAAGACTCGGACTCAACCCTTCAAAGACTCGGTCTTGACTTGGACTCAACCCTTCAAAGACTCGGTCTTGACTCGGACTCAACCCTTCAAAGACTCAGTCTTGACTCGGACTCAACCCTTCAAAGACTCGGACTCAACCCTTCAAAGACTCTGTCTTGACTCGGACTCAACCCTTCAAAGACTCTGTCTTGACTCGGACTCAACCCTTCAAAGACTCGGACTCAACCCTTCAAAGACTCGGTCTTGACTTGGACTCAACCCTTCAAAGACTCGGTGTTGACTCGGACTCAACCCTTCAAAGACTCAGTCTTGACTCGGACTCAACCCTTCAAAGACTCGGACTCAACCCTTCAAAGACTCTGTCTTGACTCGGACTCAACCCTTCAAAGACTCTGTCTTGACTCGGACTCAACCCTTCAAAGACTCAGTCTTGACTTGGACTCAACCCTTCAAAGACTCGGTCTTGACTCAGACTCAACCCTTCAAAGAATCGGACTCAACCCTTCAAAGACTCAGTCTTGACTCGGACTCGACCCTTCAAAGACTCTGTCTTGACTCGCACTCAACCCTTCAAAGACTCTGTCTTGAATCGGACTCAACCCTTCAAAGACTCGGTCTTGACTCGGACTCAACCCTTCAAAGACTCGGACTCAACCCTTCAAAGACTCAGTTTTGACTCGGACTCAACCCTTCAAAGACTCAGTCTTGACTCGGACTCAACCCTTCAAAGACTTGGACTCAACCCTTCAAAGACTCGGTCTTGACTCGGACTCAACCCTTCAAAGACTCGGACTCAACCCTTCAAAGACTCAGTCTTGACTCGGACTCAACCCTTCAAAGACTCGGTCTTGACTCGGACTCAACCCTTCAAAGACTCGGACTCAACCCTTCAAAGACTCTGCCTTGACTCGGACTCAACCCTTCAAAGACTCGGCCTTGATTCGGACTCAACCCTTCAAAGACTCGGACTCAACCCTTCAAAGACTCTGTCTTGACTCGGACTCAACCCTTCAAAGACTCGGTCTTGACTTGGACTCAACCCTTCAAAGACTCGGTCTTGACTCGGACTCAACCCTTCAAAGACTCGGACTCGACCCTTCAAAGACTCTGTCTTGACTCGGACTCAACCCTTCAAAGACTCGGTCTTGACTCGGACTCAACCCTTCAAAGACTCGGACTCAACCCTTCAAAGACTCAGTCTTGACTCGGACTCGACCCTTCAAAGACTCGGTCTTGACTCGGACTCAACCCTTCAAAGACTCGGACTCAACCCTTCAAAGACTCTGTCTTGACTCGGACTCAACCCTTCAACGACTCGGTCTTGACTCGGACTCAACCCTTCAAAGACTCGGACTCAACTCTTCAAAGACTCGGTCTTGACTTGGACTCAACCCTTCAAAGACTATGTCTTGACTTGGATTCAACCCTTCAAAGACTCTGTCTTGACTCGCACTCAACCCTTCAAAGACTCGGTCTTGACTCGGACTCAACCCTTCAAAGACTCAGACTCAACCCTTCAAAGACTCGGTCTTGACTCGGACTCGACCCTTCAAAGACTCGGTCTTGACTCGGACTCGACCCTTCAAAGACTCGGTCTCGACTTGGACTCGACCCTTCAAAGACTCGGTCTCGACTCGGACTCGACCCTTCAAAGACTCGGCCTTGACTCGGACTCGACCCTTCAAAGACTCGGCCTCGACTCGAACTCAACCCTTCAAAGACTCGGTCTCGACTCGGACCTTCAAAGACTCGGTCTCGACTTGGACTCGACCCTTCAAAAACTCGGTCTCGAATCGGACTCGACCCTTCAAAGACTCGGCCTTGACTCGGACTCGACCCTTCAAAGACTCGGTCTCGACTCGGACTCAACCCTTCAAAGACTCGGTCTCGACTCGGACTCGGCCCTTCAAATACTCGGTCTCGACTTGGACTCGACCCTTCAAAGACTCGGTCTCGACTCGGACTCTACCCTTCAAAGACTTGGCCTTGACTTGGACTCGACCCTTCAAAGACTCGGCCTTGACTTGGACTCGACCCTTCAAAGACTCGGTCTCGACTCGGACTCGGCCCTTCAAAGACTCGGTCTCGACTTGGACTCGACCCTTCAAAGACTCGGTCTCGACTCTGACTCGACCCTTCAAAGACTCGGTCTCGACTCTGACTCGACCCTTCAAAGACTCGGTCTCGACTCGGACTCGGCCCTTCAAAGACTCGGTCTCAACTTGGACTCGACCCTTCAAAGACTCGGTCTTGACTCGGACTCGACCCTTCAAAGACTCGGTCTTGACTCGGACTCAACCCTTCAAAGACTCGGCCTTGACTCGGACTCGACCCTTGAAAGACTCGGTCTCGACTCGGACTCAACCCTTCAAAGACTCGGCCTTGACTCGGACTCAACCCTTCAAAGACTCAGTCATTCACAAACCCTCTCTCGTGGCCTCATGGAACAGTAAAGTGTCCATCATACACACACATCAGAATCTCACAGGAAGTACTAGGACATCCAGGTAGTTTTTGTAGTACTCTGAATTCAGACATACTTCTTTTGTCACATACTATTTCTCACCTACTATATAGTAGTGAAGTATGTGATTTGTGACGCGCAGCCAAATAGCGATTTAGAGGGGAGGAACAGCTGACACACTCATTAACACACTTCTCCTAACGCACCGTCCCTCCCAGCGGCCTTTGCTCGACTCCCTCCTTTATCTCAGTTGCCACCTGTATATTGTCTAACTTTACTGCACTAAATACAGATGGAAAGCAATTAAAAAAGCTGGAGAGGGTGTTAAGTGAGGCTGTCAGTGCCTGGAGGGAGGGATGCTCTAGTTTCCTCTGCGTCTTCAGATTGTGGAGGTCCTCTCAGCTTTCCTGCGCCGGTCCCCGAGGTGCTGCTCTGCACGCACAGATTTGGCTTCATCACACAGAGACGACTTAAAAATGTTGGCTTTCCTGCCATCTATACATATGTTTGTTGCTATAACAGCTGCTGAGGAGTGCAATATTTATCTTTATGCCTTTGAGGCAAATGCTAATCTGACTTCATACTGAAGTTACATAGACTTTTAAAGCAAGCTCAGGCAAAACAGGAGGGAAATGAATGTTAAATGTTTAAATGCTTATTAACAGATTGACCGATGGCATAACTATTTCACACTGTGAAAATATATGGAGAGACTTAGGTTTAAAATACTGAGAGTGAGATAAGTTTTAGCTTGAACTTAAATCTAACTTTTTAGTTGATAACTGATAAGCATTTACTTTGATTCTGAATCAGACCTTTTCTGTTATGAATTGGTTTTCTGAATTTCACTCTTTGGATGTCATCTTCTGCGACATATTGGAGATTCTGGATATCTACACAGTTAATCCAGATATTATTGAATAATTCTTGTGTTAATTTGTTCTTTGCAGTCACTTTTCTCTTCATCCTTCTCAGTGACAGAATGAACAAGTAGCTCAACAGAACTCCTGTCCTCTTTCCCAAATTCCCAAATCCCTCTCAATAATATATATATATATATATATATATATATATATATATTAGGGCTGGGTATTGTTAGGTATTTCACAATTCGATTCGATTTCAATTCTTGAGGCTTCGATTCGATTCGATTTCGATTCGATTCAATATTGACTTATTAGCTTCGATATCGATTCAATAATAAGTAAATACACAAGTAATTAAGTGCCTGAGTATATTTTTAAGTAATGTGCGCAGTTTTACCAATGTTAAAGAACAAATTGACCCCAGCATGTTTGTTTCCTGTCATGGTTTATTCAGCAGAATAAAAATGTACAATATTGTATGTGTTGAATTCAAACACAACTGTGACAAGCACTGTACTTTAACAACACCTCTAAAGTGCATGTAACTAAGTAGTAGAAAGTATATTTCTTTCTTCCCATACAGTCAAGTTATAAAAGAAATGTAAACAGAAGCACAAAATGTGCATACTCAAAAAAGTGCAATATTATATTCTAATTATAATTTTGTAAACAATAACACTTAATAGCTGATCACACTTAACAGCAATTGCGAGTTATCAGGCCAATTCTAAGGGGGGAAAAATACTAACCTTTTTCCCTCTCAGAAGTTTATATCTCATAGACTTTATATCATGCATTTCTGACTTTATATCACGCAATTCTGACTTTATATCATGCAGTTCTGACTTTATAACACTCAATTGCGACTTTATATCACGCAATTGTGACTTTATATCTCGCAATTCTGACTTTATATCTTGCAATTCTGAGAAATAAAGTTAGAATTGCGAGAGGTAAACTCCCAATTGTGAGAAAAAAAAGTCAGAATTGTGAGATAAAAAGTCGCAATTACCTTTTTTATTTTCCATTCTGTGGCGGAAACAAGCTTCCATAGTTCCCGGCTTACAGTGGAATCCAAAATGAGCCCAAACGTCGGCTTTTAATGTTTGGCGGTGCAGTCTTGAATCAGGCTTGAACGGAGTGCAGCTGCTGTCTGTCATCGCGCTGTTTTGCTAAGGGCTAAAGCGCGACTTGTACAATGGTGAACGCTCTCACTAGAGTGTAGCCCACAGCGCCGCCACTGGCCTGGATGGCTGAATCGATTCATAGGATTTGATGAATCGATATTGAATTGAGAAGCAAAAAATTGCAATGCATTGATGAATCGATATTTTTACCCAGCCCTAATATATATATATATATATATATATATATACATATATATATATATATATATATATATATACATATATAGACTCACCTAAAGGATTATTAGGAACACCATACTAATGCTGTGTTTGACCCCCCCTTGGTCTGCCTTAATTCTACGTGGCATTGATTTAACAAGGTGCTGAAGATGATCTGGTGACTGTGGGGGCCATTTTAGTACAGTGAACTCGAAACCAATTTGAAATGATTCGAGCTTTGCTGGAAGTAGCCATCAGAGGATGGGGACATGGTGGCCATAAAGGGATGGACATGGTCAGAAACAATGCTCAGGTAGGCCGTGGCATTTAAACAATGCCCAATTGGCACTAAGGGGCCTAAAGTGTGCCAAGAAAACATCCCCCACACCATTACACCACCACCACCAGCCTGCACAGTGGTAACAAGACATGATGATCCATGTTCTCATTCTGTTTACGCCAAATTCTGAATGTCTCAACAGAAATCGAGACTCATCAGACCAGGCGACATTTTTCCAGTCTTCAACTGTCCAATTTTGGTGAGCTCTTGCAAATTGTAGCCTCTTTTCCCTATTTGTAGTGTAGATGAGTGGTACCCGGTGGGGTCTTCTGCTGTTGTAGCCCATCCGCCTTAAGGTTGTGCTTGTTGTGGCTTCACAAATGCTTTGCTGAATACCTCGGTTGTAACGAGTGGTTATTTCAGTCAAAGTGTCTCTTCTATCAGCTTGAATCAGTCGGCCCATTCTCCTCTGACCTCTCGCATCAACAAGGCATTTTGGCCCACAGGACTGACGCATACTGGATGTTTTTCCCTTTTCACGCCATTATTTGTAAACCCTAGAAATGGTTGTGCACGAAGATTGTCTTGACCAGGACCAGGATGACCAGGATGTGATTGGTTGATTAGATAATTGCATTAATGAGAAATTAAACAGGTGTTCCTAATAATCCTTTAGGTGAGTGTACAGTATATACATGCAAATAGACAGCTGGACAGGATCTTTGGAACATTTACTAATAATTAATGAGAATCTTGATAACATTAGTTAATGCACCGTGAACTAAAATGAACAAACTGTATTTGTATTAACTAACATTAACAAAGATGAACAAATACAGTAACAAACGTATTGCTCATGGTTATTTCATGTAATACATTAACTAATGAAGCTTTTGTAAAGTGTCACAGATCTTCTTAAGGCTGACCATTGAAACCCCAGCTTTAGACTCTCCGAGTCTCTGACATGAGTGAGGAATGAGAGCTTGTCTTTATCTGAATATCAGTCAGACGCCTGCAGCTCCTGACACATTTATCTGAACTCAAGTGCTCCACTAGATGAGACATGGATGTGCTGTTTGAGGCTGATGTATCATTGTTTCTGTTTACAGACGAGTGCTGGATGCTGCCAAGAGGAGCAACCAGACGGGTCACTTTCTGTGGGTCGGGTCTGACAGCTGGGGAGCCAAGATCTCTCCGGTGATCCAGCAGGAGAAAGTGGCAGAAGGAGCCATAACTATCCTTCCCAAAAGAGCCACGGTGGACGGTGTGTACATGTGACGTGTCCTATCCATGCACTAACGCTCGAATGTTTGGGGTTTCTTTTTTATTTACTTTACAGTGAAATATTACAGTTTAAAAGAAGTTTTTATATGTTGATACTTAGTAAATATAATTTATTTATGTGATGCAATTTTCAGCATTATACTCCAGTTGTCAGTGTCACATGATCCTTCAGAAATCACTCTGATTAGTCATCAGATATAATCATCAGATTATTATCATATTTTCGTGGAAACCATGACGCATTCTATTCTTTGATGAACAGAAAGATTAAAAGAACAGCATTTATCTGAAATAGAAATCTTTTGTAACATTATTAACACTTTTTAAATGCTGTGGTGTATGTGTCAATTTACGGAGCCTGTAAAGGGAAATAATGGTGGAAAAATATGGGATGGAAGCAAAATGTATATTAAAATGCTTTTGCATTCTCTCGCAAATGTTTTGCGTTCCCAATAAATGTTATGCTTGCTTGCTAAAGCTTTGTGTTCTTTGTGAGCGAATGCAAAGTTTCTTAGGTAACGCAAAAAGTATAGACAAATATTTTTTCGCTCCCTTCTCATAATTTTTTCCTTCACTGGGTTCCTTTTGGGGCTTCATAACAATCAATTATTAATTAAACATTATTTGTTAGTAACCAGAATTAGCAAAACAATATTTAGAACTAGATAATGATTTAAATAAATATAAAAAGGAAACCATGAAAATAGCAGGGAATTAGAAATTGTGATTACCAAGCAGAAGGAAATAAAACCTTAAAAATTCAGTAGTGCATGCATTTTTTCCCCTGATTTTTATTTTTATATATATTTTTTAATCATTTTAAAAAATGATTTTTATCGAAAAATTCATGCAATATCTGTATTAGTCATGCAATATATTTATTAAAAAAAACCTTGGGTGTATATCAACTAAATTGGTCCAAAATCTTACAGTCATTTCAATAGCAAAAGGTTCTCAGTGTACATGAATTCACCCATTAGATGGCAATGCTCAGACTTAGTGGAGACATTTATTTCCGCTCTCCAATGTTGTCAGACAAGCATCGCTAACAACTAGCATCATGGTCCGACACTTAATCCCGTATCCATTCAGTGGCGAGTGCATCCGAGCCTCCTTCTGGTGGTTGTCTGCACTCAAGTAATCATAGCACTGTCCCTCAAGCAGCGGCTCTCGGCTCTCAGGCAACAGCTTGGGAATAGACCCACCAATTAGAGCACTTTTGTCAGAACACATTGTATAATTGTGTCTGTGGGGACAGGGATTAGATGCAGACAGCCAGACAGGAATACCGTCGAGGATTTACACACACTCTGCCACTTTACTGACACAGATGTGTGTCATTCCTTTAGATGCGTGTCCCCTTTCCCAGTACATAATTTTAATTTTTCAATTCTACTAATAATAATAATACATTTTAAAGGTATAGTGCATGTACTGTTTATGTTGTGTAGGGACTTTTTACTGTGCCACAAAATAGCAGTTGCTGTAAGTGGTCGACCAATCACAACAGACTTGGCCATGTGACCAATCAGAGCAGAGTCGACCAATCACAACAGACCAATCAGAGCAGAGTAGACCAATCACAACAGACTTGGCCATCTGACCAATCAGAGCAGAGTAGACCAATCACAAAAGACTGGGTCATCTGACCAATCAGAGCAGAGTCGACCAATCAGAACAGACTGGGTCATCTGACCAATCAGAGCAGAGTCGACCAATCACAACAGACTGGGTCATCTGACCAATCACAACAGACTGGGCCATCTGACCAATCAGAGCAGAGTCGACCAATCAGAACAGACTGGGTCATCTGACCAATCAGAGCAAAGTCGACCAATCACAACACAGACTGGGTCATCTGACCAATCAGATCAGACTAGACCAATCAGAACAGATTTGGCCATCTGACCAATCAGATCAGACTAGACCAATCACAACAGACTTGGCCATCTGACCAATCAGAGCAGAGTCGACCAGAACAGACTGGGTCATCTGACCAATCAGAGCAGAGTCGACCAATCACAACAGACTGGGTCATCTGACCAATCAGATCAGACTAGACCAATCAGAACAGATTTGGCCATCTGACCAATCAGAGCAGAGTCGACCAATCAGAACAGACTTGGCCATCTGACCAAACAGAGCAGAGTCGACCAATCACAACAGACTGGGTCATCTGACCAATCAGAGCAGAGTAGACCAATCACAACAGACTGGGTCATCTGACCAATCAGATCAGACTAGACCAATCACAACAGACTGGGTCATCTGACCAATCAGAGCAGCGTAGGCTGTCAGAAATGCAGGGTTTCAAGAGACCATATCCATGAGCTGATGCTGCAATGTACTGTATTTTATGGGAAAATAAAAGTGTTTTTTGAACATGGATGCATGTAAACCTGTTGTAGACCTTTAAAACAGTATAAAAGGGGCACTTTAACAATGAACAATAATACATGTTTAACTTAACATTAACCCAGATTACCAAATGCTGTAAAAAATTATTGCTAATTTTTACATGAATGTTACATAATGTATGATGCTTCGTGTTAATCAAAATCCAAAATCATTTGTACTCTATGTTTTTTACAAGAACAATGGACAAGAAAATACTATTTCAGTCTTTCTACTTCAAAACGTTCACATTTAATTCAATGTGTTATTTCCATTTCTCTGTAATTCATTCCTTCAGATGCTTATCGCTCTTTTCCTCGCCTCTCTCTCCTCAGCGTTCGATCGCTACTTCCGCAGTCGCTCGCTCTCCAACAACAGAAGGAACGTGTGGTTTGCCGAATTCTGGGAGGAGAACTTCGGATGCAAGCTCGGGATGCACGGAAAACGTCCCGGAAGCCTGAAAAAGTGCACCGGTAAGACGTGCTTATGTTGGAGACATTATTTATTCAGGTCAGCCGTTCATCTCTCAAAGAGTTTGGGGTTTTAAGAGGAAGATGCAACAGAAGGCAAATGGCTGTGAGAGGTTTCTGAAGTGAGAGCTTTCTGTGGACAGACGTCTCCTCGGGCCCGTGCTCGAGCAGTCAATGCAAACAATGTGTTTCCAGTGTCTGACTTCATCACACCTTCCTCTCCTCTCTCCTGTCCTAAAGGTCCAAGAGTGCCAGGAATGACAGTCGAACACAAGTGAACAGAAGGCACGTTTATGGGAACATTAGTTTCACTCGTTTTGCAAGTTTTGTTTCCATCCACACGTTTTTATCCGCATTGAGTGAAATTGAAGGAAAAATGCCTTATGGAAACACTTAGGAATACTTTCGGTCTCATCGGATTTTTTCTTGATTGACATATGATCAACACTGATGGACGTTATTATGGCACCTAGCAAAACTTGAATGTTGTGCAGTTCGGTGAGAAAATGAATGGAAACACCTTAACATGTCTCAAATCAATTCGATACACCAATTTGATCGCAAAACAGCACGTGACGTCATTACGCACCGGTTTTTATTCGCTTTAAAGCCGTTCACCAGCTTTATTCGCTTGAGGTTTTTTAGCGAACTTCATATAATTTGATTGACAAGTGCATGGAAACTTGGCTAATGTCGCTTGTGTTGCGACTGTAAATTTCCAGACAACATTCTGTGGGGAATTGATTGGATGGTTGTGGTTTGCTATTGGCTGATGTCATGTGAGTGACAGGTCAAGCCCCGCCCTCATCAGTGGTGGAATGTAACGAAGTACAAATACTTTGTTACTTTACTTAAGTGCATTTTTCAACTATCTTTACTTTACTTAAAGGAGAACTCCGGCGAACAATGAACCTTTGGTCTAATAAAACATCGGTACATAGTCAACCGTTCTCTGAGATTTGTTTTCATGATAATCGATTGTAAAGAGTTTTATCTCTAAAAACTGTTTAGCGTATAATGCTAGTACTGGGGGCATTGACTAAGTTAAAGAAATGGCTAGTTTATACCACTAACAAGGCTCAAAATAGCCGCACACTAACGCAGTAACGTAATGAGGCTCCATACATACAAAACGAAGCATTGAGAACTTTGTAAGTGTACAGACCGTTTAATAAGAAGATACTTTATGAAGACAGTTCACTTCGTGTATACAGACAGGAGCCATCTTAAAAAATAGTCTCGATAAGTCGATCCCCGAACGACGTGCTGAGTGATCTGAGCTGTATGACGTTCAACGAACTTCTGAACTGTATGAAACGCATTCGGGGATCGACTTATCGAGACTATTTTTTAAGATGGCTCCTGTCTGTATACACGAAGTGAACTGTCTTCATAAAGTATCTTCTTATTAAACGCTCTGTACACTTACAAAGTTCTCAATGCTTCGTTTTGCATGTGTGGACCCTCATTATGTTACTGCGTTAGTGTGCGGCTATTTTGAGCCTTGTTAGTGGTATAAACTAGCCATTTCTTTTTACTTAGTCAATGCCCCCATTACTAGCATTATACGCTAAACAGTTTTTAGAGATAAAACTCTTTACATTCGATTATCATGAAAACAAATCTCAGAGAACGGTTGACTAGGTACCGATGTTTTATTAGACCAAAGGTTCATTGTTCGCCGGAGTTCTCCTTTAAGTAGAATAAATAGAACATGCTTTTTACTTTTACTTCGTTACATTTTGCAGCAATTATTATACTTTCTACTCCACTACATTTCTACAACTTCTGTACATTTTCGTTACATTTTCTGATCAGTTTTTTTCCATCATTATTGAACATCATTATAGGAGTATTAGGTTGAATGAGTTAGAATTAAATGTTTTATTAATCATTAGAAAATAGTCATTAAGAGAATCAATTGTTATGCAAGTACTTTTACTTTTAATACTTAAAGTACATTTAAAATCAGGTGCTTTTTACTTAAGTATGGTTGTCATTGTGTTACTTCTACTTTTACTAAAGTAAATTTTTATCTGGTTATTTGTACTTTTACTTAAGTACTGAGATTCAGTACTTCCTCCACCACTGGCCCTCATTAAGAGATGATGTCACTGCAAGAGGGAGGGGAAGCTATTCTGATTCAAGATTATGATGCACATGAGTGAAAAAAATAATAATAATGATGATGATGTACACGGAAAAATCATTTATATTTAATACTGCATTATTCCATAAAAAAGAGACTTTAATATTTAACATGCGACAACTGATATGCAAATTTATTCCTTGAATGCAATGCAAGTGGCTTTGGGTAAAATTCATAAGTGTGAAATATGTCGATTTGAATTTCATGGTGACTTTAAGACAAATATAGATAACCATTATTAGTATTTAAAGAAAAGAAAAAAAGATCTGTGCAGTTACTTTGACAGTATGCCAGGGGGAATGATGTATTCTTACAACAATTGGGTTCCAATCTGCTGTCAGCCTGGAGCTGCCTGTCGACACACACACACACACACACACACACACACACACACACACACGGTCAGACGGAGAGGAAGCTCAGTGTGTGGCGTGAGTCACTGTGCTAATCTGAGGGGAACAGAGTGTGTGATCTGAGCGCGCCTGTTAATGCAGGATAGTATGAGTGTGTGTGAATTATATCAATAACAAAAAAAAAATATATTCTTACTCAGTATTTTTTTACAGTACAAATATTAAATCAAGATGCATTCACTGTATTTGAAACGCAGAATAAAGGTTTCAGCCAAAAATGAGAAATTTTCACCCACATGTGGTTCCAAACCCATTTATTTTCATATCACAAATTAAGCTATTTTTAATGAAACCTGAGATTTCAATCCCTCCATTGAAAGTCTATTCAGCCCAAACTCTAACGCTTCAAAGTGTTCAAAAACATGAATTTAGCGGTTTAATCCAAGTCTTCTGAAAAGACATGATCACTTTATATGACGAATAGGTTTAATAGAGGCTTTTATGAATATTGATCAGCGAACATACATATAGCACTCAAATATAGTTAGCTGGAGACCAACTGTGGCTTTTTCTAAGGCTTCTGTATGCAAATGCCATTTTTTGTGAAAGACTAAAGTGTCTGAATACCTCACAGGTGATGATATGTAAATGCACATTCATTAATATGTTAATGAGCTGATGTTTGTGCAGTAAAATTGCATTAGAGTTTTTATTATGCAGCACAAAAATCCACATTTTATATAGAAAACTCAGCAGAGCTGTTGAGAAATCCCCAGTAAAGAGGAGAATGAAAGCTGCAGTTGAACGTCTCTGTGAATGTTGGCTTGGAGACGTGCACAGGGGAACGAACGCAACCCTTTCACATTAGGAAACTTCCCCCGCTTCTGAGAGAATGTGCTTGACACAATGAACATAATTACACCATCACACACACCGCCAGCGCTCATATTCTGTGACGTCTCAGTCATTCGCAGTCTCACTTGTTTTGCGCACTCAAACACAACAACGGCACCATTAGAAAAGCGGAAACGCTTCATCACAAACAGCAGTTCGGGACTTAACAACTGAGTGGAAGCAGGTTCATTTTGCTATATGCAATGCTACTAAATACATGCAGCCTTGGTGAACAGAATGGACTTAATTCTTAAAAAATGTTGATTGTATATTCAGACATTAAGAATTATCGGCTATCGGCTTTCAGACATTAAGAATTTTCAGTTATCGGCTTTCAAACATTAAGAACTTTCGGTTATCGGCTTTCAAACATTAAGAATTATCGGTTATCGGCTTTCAGACATTAAGAATTATCGGTTATCGGCTTTCAAACATTAAGAATTTTCGGTTATCGGCTTTCAAACATTAAGAATTATCGGTTATCGGCTTTCAGACATTAAGAATTATCAGTTATTGGCTTTCAGACATTAAGAATTATCGGTTATTGGCTTTCAGACATTACGAATTATCGGTTATCGGCTTTCAAACATTAAGAATTATCGGTTATTGGCTTTCAGACATTAAGAATTATCGGTTATCGGCTTTCAGACAGTAAAAATTATCGGTTATCGGCTTTCAGACAGTAAAAATTATCGGTTATCAGCTTTCAGACATTAAGAATTATCGGTTATCGGCTTTCAAATATTAAGAATTATCGGTTATCGGCTTTCAAACATTAAGAATTATCGGTTATTGGCTTTCAGACATTAAGAATTATCGGTTATCGGCTTTCAAACATTAAGAATTATCGGTTATTGGCTTTCAGACATTAAGAATTATCGGTTATCGGCTTTCAAACATTAAGAATTATCGGTTATTGGCTTTCAGACATTAAGAATTATCGGTTATCGGCTTTCAGACAGTAAGAATTATCGGTTATTGGCTTTCAGACATTAAGAATTATCGGTTATCGGCTTTCAAACATTAAGAATTATCGGTTATTGGCTTTCAGACATTAAGAATTATCGGTTATCGGCTTTCAAACATTAAGAATTATCGGTTATTGGCTTTCAGACATTAAGAATTATCGGTTATCGGCTTTCAGACAGTAAGAATTATCGGTTATCGGCTTTCAGACATTAAGAATTTTTGGTTATCGGCTTTCAAACATTAAGAATTTTCGGTTATCGGCTTTCAAACATTACGAATTATCGGTTATCGGCTTTCAGACATTAAGAATTTTCAGTTATCGGCTTTCAAACATTAAGAACTTTCGGTTATCGGCTTTCAAACATTAAGAATTATCGGTTATCGGCTTTCAGACATTAAGAATTTTTGGTTATCGGCTTTCAAACATTAAGAATTTTCGGTTATCGGCTTTCAAACATTACGAATTATCGGTTATCGGCTTTCAGACATTAAGAATTTTCGGTTATCGTCTTTCAAACATTAAGAATTTTCAGTTATCGGCTTTCAAGCATTAAGAATTATCGGTTATCGGCTTTCAAACATTAAGAATTATCGGTTATCGGCTTTCAAACATTAAGAATTTTCGGTTATCGGCTTTC